TACACCGTGTCGCCTCCAATAGCAATTATTCTGTAAATCTTTGGTAAACGTTCCGTCGATAAAGTACTCCTATTCATAACCTCGGAACAGAAAATCAAGGTTCCAAACTGAAGGGTTGACTGAGCAACAGTAACACAGTAGTAATGGTCGAACATTAGTCAGCCCTTCCAGGCAATACGTTATGACGTAGCGTATAGCTTACGGTTTACAACGTATAGCGTGTCTGAATGCATTTACTTTCATTCTACCGTGGAATCGTCCCCTGTAGGATTTAAAATCGCTCTTCTAGAAACAAATGTGTGATCAGATAGCAAAACATGACGCGCATAGTTTCACGAGTTCCAAACAATTTTTGAAGTTTGTTTAAGTGTAGGTAATCACCAAGTTCTTCAAAGTATAATTTCTTGAATTAGCTGTTCTACCTTAAATTGTGTATACATACAGGGTGTTATTTATATAAAATAATTGATTATTCTTTTATTTCATCAGAACATTATCTTAGTTTTGTGTTCACTATATTTTAAGTTTCTTAGTAAAATCAGTGAGTACTCTGTTCTTTGTATGTTTTTATTGCTTTCCTTCATTAGTATAAATTCCATTACGTCGTATTGTAGATCTTACTTTGACAAATGGAACACCGACAGAATCTTGACGAAAATTGAATACTTTCATGTATATACAATTGCTCTTGCAATGACCCTTAAGGCTTGATGCTTAAAACAATAAAACGAGCTATGTTTCACGGATCGATGTTTCCCTTGAAACCGCCTTCGAAACCGTGAAATCGCGTTTCCAAACTCCGACCCCGTCCCATCTTTGTTCGTGCTCGGCTGTTTGCGTTCCGCAAAGGAATCGGGAAGCACGCTTCCGTCCAAGGGTAGATTAGAGCTTTCACATGAAAAGAGGAAAATATGTTCAGGGGCAGCTTGAAGCGGTTGATTGGCTTCTAAGTAGAAAAGTCCATTAAACATCGATCGCGACCGTGGATCGAACCTCTCGATGATCGAGAATCAATCCCCATGCACTTAATAACAAATAATACAGAATCCTTACAAGATGATCGGATAAATCGAATTAAACATTGAATAAGTATCTAATATCCCTCGTACGTCGAATTTGGAACAACCCAGTAAACTTCTTGTTAATGCTTGGACAAGCTGAATGGCGCGATGTTTTGCGGAAATCGGTAGCAGAGATAAATAAGAACCGAGAATTTTTACTGATCGGTCTCCATTGGTAACGGAGATTTATCGGCAAACTTTTTCAAGGGTACAGGAAACAATCGTCGATGTTTGTCCCGATGACGCGCGAAGCCCCGGTTTTAATCGTGTTTAGAATTTAGAAACTGGAATGCTAGAAGTGGTTCAAGTACGAGAACGTCGCATCGCGTCGCGAAAAACCGACGAACGAACTCTACTTACTTACGCCTATTCTGTTTACCTGAGAAACGATCGACTATCGATTACGCTCCCGCGATAAATATAACGCGAACTAAAGCCGGCCGACCTTCTTTCGCGGGCATAGTCAACGCTCCTTTTCAAGGTGCCGTTTTGCATACTCTAACCTTAGCAGAAACTTGACAAGATTCATTGTTCGCGTTCGCTCTAATTATTAAAGCTTTTCACGTATGCTTATCTGAAAATTCTATTATCGAGCAAAATGATTTTTGTAATAGATTGTAAAATACAGAAAGTTGTGCTGATATAAATTAATATGCAGAATACGACCATGAAACTGTGGACTTTATGTACTTATAGAAAAATCTGTGTAAGATATGTAAAATTCGCATAAGGAACGTCAAAAGAGAAATGGATGTTATTATTTTTCAAGGGTAAAATAAATTCTTATCTAGACTTAATTTTCTAAATTAATATTATGAATTAATATGGTCCATTTGGCTTAGAAATCTGTAGTTTAATAGAACGAGATTATTATTTGACGAATAATGTAATTTATTATATAAATTATATGAATGGTCGTGCAGGTGTTCAATCTTATCGGACTTACTCAGACCGGAAAGAGATTTGCCCGTCGCGTCGACGATGAAACAGAGCATTGTGTCTATAGCTCGCGAGGAATTAATAGCCAGAGCAGGGATTGCGGCGCAGGAATTAGAATAAATGCGGTAACAACGTAACGAGCAAGAACACTATGTACATTGTTTTCTTCGTCCTTCTCGGTCGTTCGATATCGACCCGCAGTAGGCATCACGAATTTTGCCCGTCTTAACCGGTTGTTACCTACCTCGCGTAATTTCGCTAATTGATTTGAATTTTTTCCTCTTTTACTTTCTCCTTTTTCTTATAAGGCATGTAATCGAGATGAAAAGCAGTTTTGGTTCTCATGATGTGGAATTTCGAACTTCGTCACAGATATTATATAATATATGAATATTAGTATTATAAAAATATGTCGTTTACATATGATTATATGAATATTAGTATTACAAAAATATGTCGTTTACATAAGTACATTGCATAGCCAAAATGAAGTAACGTTCTTTACTGACACGGTATATAGCAGCAAGAACATCGAGTAAAGATTAGAGATTAGAGAGTGCTTGGAAATCGCTCTTCGGAGGCTGAAAGACAGTTGTTTATCGCCTTGGGGGGCTCTCAATGTTCCCTTACATAGGCCTGTTAATCTCATCTATATTCAAGAGCCACTCGGCTTTGCTGAATCCGATTGGACATAGCTTGCCTCGGTAAACGCATTAAAAACTAGGGGATCAGATCACCTGACGCGACCGATTAACAGACGTAACCCATTCGAGAAACAATCACTTTTCTTTATAGTCAAACAATAGTCATATTGTTGAAATTAGTAGCACGTCTGCAAACCATTTTTAATACGATGAATAGAAAACCAAATAGGAAGTTCTTCACGAAGAACATAATTTAACTAATTATTTGACACTAGGACAAAATGAAAATGTTATTTTGTACACGATTTCTTACGGACTCCATTAGGGACAGTGTTTTTGGTTAACACGCACCGTGAATTTGGTCCGGTTCGTTTTGGCCCATTCCTTTTCGTACCGATTTGGCACGCGGCAACGGTCCCATATAAATACCCTGCCATCGTTCTTATTCCAATTGGCAAGGTTGGTTCTCGATCCAGCTGGCAAGGTTCAACATCCACCGCCCAGGAGACGGAACCAACAAAACGGTTTTCTCTCTGATCCGACCCGTGAAACAATTCCCTCCCTCGCCTATCCATCATCGAGACTCCCTAGACGCGGGCTTTATCGAATTGGCGAAGCCTGCTGCGGCGCGCCGGGCCTCGAGGATCCTCTCGACTTCCTGTTGCATAGGCCTGGCGCCGAAAGGCGAGAAGACACCACGCGACTCTCGTTCAAAGGCTATCGAGACGGAGCGAAGGGTTGCGAGTCCCGGTGAGGGGCACTCGATCAAAAGTGGCTGCTGCGCTCATCGACTGGCTACTTCACTTTCCTCATTCTTCTCTCGTCAACCGTTCCCGCGATGCCAGAGTTAGTTTAACTCACAAGTTCGTTGTACATGTTATGTAAACCCCTAAGTAAATATTTAAACAGCGACTATTTTATTTTCTGATAATAATGACTGTTGTTGCTATTATATTTGCTTATATGTATAATACTATTTTTCTTATACATACGTGAAAAGATCACTTAACTCATTCTGGACAGAGCATAAATAGCAGGTTTAAATAAAACTGAAGCGAATGAAAATATCGATAATTGTAAGAAAATCATAAGCGGTAATTTATACGTAGATGCGAATGAAATATTATTATTTCTATATATATCATCGAACGAAGGATAAGCTGAGAGGGAAAAGATTAAGAGAACAGCAGGGCAACTTCGCAACTATCTTGCTCAGTGTAACTTTAAGGAAACAAGGGATGAGCGGAATAAATCTAAGTAGGAATGCTTCTAGGGTCGGTGTGCTTGGCCTTGACCCGTTTCTGATGAGGAGACCAGGTCAGGAGAGTGCATCCGAACGAATGACATCATGCTTGCTTTGCACCGCGTGCACGCGAACTCGCGTTATCGTTCACTCTTCTTCAATTCATTATTAGAATCATAGCGTACCTTTTAAGGCCGGTATAGACCGTGGTACAATTGCTGAAAACGTTGTACTCCGTCAATCAATAATTGAAAGATTAGAAATCAGACGATTGTAGTCGAGAGCATTTACACATATGAATTAATTAATATACAAGTTTCATGACCAAATTAATTTGCAAAAAATAAATTATTTGATCCTAAAAGTGTTCTCCGACGCGTTATTAATAGATCAGATAATTTCGATTCTTGGCCCGAGGAAAGTGGGTTTTCGTCCCGTGGAAAAATATTAATACCTGCTGGCCCCTGTGTCCTCGTATAGAACGAGCCTCGCGGTTTATGAAACAACGTGGTTGTTTTTTTTAAATCGTGGTCGGTGCACAGGTGCCGCGCCGCGCGAACAATATGAAAGTAAAAAAGATAGCAATTCGTCCACTCCAGCGTGTGTTGACAAAACAAATGGAAAAACCAGGGGAATTTGAACTAGTAAATTTTGTTAGTTTTAATTCGAAAACGATGTACGCTCTCGTTACATAAAGCTGTTCACAATTCCCGATAAAACGGAATTTCGAAATTAAAATTCGATTCCGATATCGTAGCTAGACGACGATTTCCAGGATATTTGGCGTAGTCGACGCGAGTCGAATGTACATATAAAGCTCGTTAATACGGTACGTGTACCGAATAAGTACGAGGTAACCCAACCGAACGGGAGGAAGGGAAGCGGTTCGAATTTTCTCGTTAAATGGAATGCAGCTATGAGTCGCGGTTTTTGCTTGGAAAATTATCCAATTATTATTATCGCCCTCGGCTTTGTTACACGGCACGGGTTCCCGAATGCAGACGACAAATAAAGGTTGATGAAACACAAGCGTTAGCAGACAATGATTCGACTCATTCATTAAGAAGTTGGGAAATATAGGATAATCCGTTATCTTTGTTTTTCTGTTCACAGCTGACAGCAGTTTTCTCCTGGCGAACGCTCAAATCGTCGACTTCCCTATTGTCTACTGCAACGAAAGCTTTTGCAAAATCTCTGGCTATAATCGTGCCGAGGTAAATAGCTCTGTCCCCTGCTTTCCTAAGCTTCTTTCGGTTCTGCGATCACGCTTTGCGGTCCGATTTACCCGTCGACGTTTTCCAACCGAATTCTCCCGAGCTGCAACAATCCGTCGATCGGAAACCGGAAACGATTCGTTCAGAAACTGGTTTACGTATCAATCAACGTTGCAATCGAGGTCGCAGACGAATCGCGCTTCTTTTTCCAAGTTTAAATCATATAAACGGACGGGGAAATACGATTTCAATATTTCTGTTCATACCCCAGTTCTCATTTGAATTTCTTAGTTTGCTGTAAATGAATCATAATTCTTTAACTAATTTCATTCGCGAAAATGACACCGGTAATCGGATTAGCCTGTTTGTTTCGCGAGGACGTAATCGGTTTAACTTTAATTGTAGAGGTGCGCTTGTTTACTCGTTACTTTTTTCCGGGTTTCCTGTGTAAACAGGCTGGTGAACGAGAGAATGCTTGTTAACAGGTTATGCAAAAGTCCTGCCGCTGCGGATTCATGTATGGGGAGTTGACGGACAAAGAGACGATCGCCAGGATCGAGGAATGCCTCGAGGGCCAGATCCACGATCAATTCGAGATCCTGCTGTACAAGAAGAACAGTAAGTACCTCGGCAAGATGAATTCACAAGCATGAGTGAAGCTTAAATGTGGTGTTCGTGGCTTCGACTTTCGTGCCCGGAATCGACCATTTCCATTTACCTCGCGCGACGAATGTTTATCAGAGAAATATATTTACTGAATGGATAAAAGATCATATAATGCGATACTCATATCGCGCGTTCTTTATCTTGCGATCTTTTAATTCAAAAGCTTAGAATATGTTTGACTAAAAATTTTGGAACTACGAACAAGGGGTGTTCTGATTTGTAGTGACATAAAGGGGACAATGAGTGGTAAAGAGAAAACGAAGATGAAAAACGAGGAAACCGTCGATTCTCGGCGAAACGATTCTGACAGGAGAACGCCTCGAGGCACGAAAGTGATGTGTATCATTGTGCATGCTCGACGCTGGTCGATCCACCGAATCCACGTACCGAATACTGTCTGCATTCATCCGTATAACAACGGACCGCTGTCCGCCTATTCGAGAGTTTCTCGCGTGTTCACGTTCACGTGTCGTCGATGTCACGCCTTGGTTCACGCAGACTCGCCTCGTGTGTCAGTACGAGCGTACCGGGTAGGAAGAGTCCTGCCTCTGACTGACCATTTCTGTTTCTACCTCATCATCATTACGCTTCTGACTCTCATATATTCTATACTACATATTTTTTTCCATTATTTATTTGTTATCGAGTTTCGATCGCGAATCTCGGAACGAAGTTCTCACGTAGAATTTGAGAGGTTCGAGCGTGGTCTGTGTACGTATTCGAGTGTACCTGGCTCGTTGCGACCCGGTAATTATTACGTTAGTAAGATCGCTCCCCAAGCGACTCATCAGCGGCCAGTAACGAGCTGAGAGCGTGTCGCGTCGACAGAACATTTCCTGGCGACGACGTATTTCCAAAATCTAAAGAACTAAAACATGCGCGCCTGTTTTCCTTCATTCCAACGACGTTCGATCGAGCCCAATAATGAATGATCGTTCTGTTTAAAGGTGCCCCACGAGGTATGTCTAACACAGGTTCGCAAAAGAGTGCTCGAAAAATCCACCAGTAAGTCACCCTCGAATCTAACTATAATAAAACACCATCTATAATTTCTATATATTATATATATAATTATATACATGCATACATATTATAGTATACATATATCTATATGAATATATGCATATTAACTGTACGTCTGGAGGTATATTATATATACTGTATACGATTGTTATACACCCGTCTTTAGCTTGAGCAAGAGACGACACACTTACAAGGATCGTCGAACGATCCCGGGACCAAAGGGTGGCCATAATGAGATGACGCTATTCGACCTCGCGCCTACTCTTGATTTCAGTTAATTCCCCCCTGAAATCTCTCTCTCCTAAGTACTAGACACACTTATTACCGGGCTACGGATCTTTATGCGTACGCGATTATCTTTAAATCTAAAAGATACGCCGTGATACATTCGTTTAAACCTATGAATAGTACTAAACGCGCGCCCTTACGCCTATCTCTAAACGCATAAGTATCTGTGGTCTACTTATTACACGCGTATCTATGGCCGTTTTCGCAGATGTTGACCTTTTGCCAGCCCGGCGAGCGACATCGTTCTTCGAACATTTCACCACGAACGTCCATTCCACTTCTCCTACTTATTCCTATTTCCTCGGGATATCTCTTTCCTCCTACGTGCTGGCTATTTTTCATCCGAAACGTTCCTGGAGGAATACTCGAAGAGACCTCGCCTCTCTGATTCGAACATTCGGAATTCGGAACAGCTCTTTTCTTTCTCGCAAGAGATTGCGGTTTCGGATTTTCTTACTCGGCTGATTTAACATCCGGATATTCTCTGGTTTTACCTGATATTATTATTAACTCTCTTTGTATTAAAATTGTGGGCGAGGTTTTGCCGATGTTCGTCGGGCAGGTGTAAGCAAGCAGAAAGTAAGCTGCCCGTGTGTTTCGTCCTAAAATCGCGACCATTACAAGGATATAATTTCGAATTAACTGTGACGGTATCCTCAGATACTTTGTCACATTCTTGATAACACTTTTAATTCGTGATTCGCGAATATCTGATACCTACACCTTCTCCGTAGGCGAACTAAGTTCACAACTGCGGTCGTTCTCGTGCAGGGTTTGTAATCGATTCCGCATTTAAAAAATGAACAAGGATTAAGTCGCGCCTCTTGTGATTCTCGATTAACGAAATTGAAGAATCAAAGGTGAAGAAATCGATGGGAAGCGAGGGGGAAGTTTAACGGAGGCATAAAACGGGGACGGCAGAGATGACGAAGCAGAAAGAGGGATGAAATTGATAAAAGTGTTCGCTATGTCGAAGGACGTTTATCATTGGACGTCCTTACCTGGTTAGGAACAACGACAAATCGTTCTTTATTTCGTTCCGTTTTCGTCTCCTCTGGCATTTTTTATTGTTTCTATGTCAGGGTTCGCTTGAAAATAATGTTATTAAGTATCGGGTTAGTAAACTGATAAAACGCGCACGATAGTTAAAAGCTTGAAAAGGGGACTGATTGAGATTCCAATTAAACAGTATAAACGGGAACTGAATCGAGTCCGAAACGCGATTACAAACCCTACGTACCGCAAAGCGGCCTATCTACACTAAACCAACTCTAATTAGTCCCGCTCCATGCTCAGTATCGCCAGGAAAAATCAAGTAGTTCAAGAGAAGCAAAATTCTTGGCTATCGAGGGTGGGAATTAAATTTGATACGTTTCTAGGAATATTGTAGGAATTCGTATTAACTTCTTAACGTTAAATACTTCAAAACGTATTAAGAATTGTAGGATATCATTATTTTTTATGATTTCATTTATTAATTCATTTGATATACAAATCCGTAGATTATGTCCCATTCGAGTGCTAAAAGAAAGTTTTTATTAACGATGATCGATCTGTCCATCCTCGGTAGCCGGTTAGGTGTCCACTTCTATAAACTCGACCACCAGAACACGACACATATACTCAAAGTTGGATGGTATACAATCGTTAAACTTCACAATATAAGGTACTTCCTACGAAGAGATAACTTTTTCAGTGTGAATTTAAATTCCCTAACCGCGACCTCGTACTAATTAAGCAAATTAAATAATTAAACAATTGTAAATATACTTTATTGTAAATAAAATAGGCACGTGTTCCTAGAAGAATCTGTCCGAACTTTATTCTTTTTTTTTTTTTTTTCTTTATACTTTTTTCACTTCTCTGTTTCTTTAAAACTGCATCACCGATCTCCAATCTATTCACATATCCTGAATTGAGCACTTGCTTGAACGATAGTCGTTCAGAGTGAACAGCGCACTGCACTCAACACGCACACGACACACACTCATTTGCATGGTGGCACGAGTTTACTCGTAGACGATACCTAAGCATACTTTGTCTGATAGTTAGATAGCCGAAGCTGTAACGATACGTACAACGATCACCCTGCTTGCAATTCGTGTACTTCGTGTTACCATTCGAACAATTGCTTTCTTTGCTCGTAGCATGTAGGTGGATAGAGAAAAATTAGTGTATCGCAGGAAGGAATATTCTCTCCTAAGCCTGGGTTTAGAAGCAGGAACTATGTCATGTTCTGATCGTGACCGTACGCTCTTATCATTTAATTATCGAATGAATCTTAAAATACCTAAGCCATAAAGAGTATGATATTGCTCTTTCTTGTTGGCTACGTAATAAACCTTCCTGCAAAGTAATAATACCTCTTTGTATATAAGAGACAGATAGCTGATTAATACTTTTACTAATTAGCATACGATAGACGGATAGACTATTTAGAATCGTTGCATCGGCATTTCGTCGAAGATGACATCGGTTCTATTCTGTTTAATGGATGTATAGAAACACCACTATGGCTGCTTCTGCAAATAGCGCCGATAAAAAACGAACGGGACCTGGTGGTCCTGTTCCTGTTGACCTTCCGGGACATCACTGCCCTGAAGCAGCCAATCGAGACGGACGACACCAAGGGTGGCCTCTCGAAGTTCGCGAAGCTCGCAAGATCGGTCACCAGGTCCAGATCTGTCCTCGTGTCACAGTTCAGCTCCCATCTGCCAGCCCTAAAGGATACCGCGTTGCCAACCACCACGAAACAATCGCACTTAGCTCATGTAAGATCCGTCTTAGAGTGTTACGTTCGTTAGAACATCTGAGATCTTGCAAGAGTTTTTATCTGTCAATAAAAAGAGGCAGATAGAAACTGTAAAGCATAATTGTATCTATGAACACGTATGTCAGGCATGTCCAAATCGCGGTTGAATCTGCTGGCTCCCGAGCAGAGTAATGAGCTGAGCATAGAACGAAGAGTAGTGAAGGAATAACGTCGTGTCAGTAGCTGATAATAGGCGAGCAATGTGATACTGTATGTATAAGCCTACTCGTCTAGCCAAAGAAATCTGTCTGTCGTAATCCCTCTTTTGTCGTCTCGCTCGCACAGTCTACTATTTACTTTTACTCATGCTGTGCGCTCGTATGACGAGCGATAGTATCTTAGAAATCCGGTTCCGATCAGTGGACATATGTATCCAGAGACTATTGTATTTCAACGTGAACTCTGAATGAACTCATTCAGTGCGTACCGTCCGTTTACTACTCGAAAGACCTTGCGTTCGGCCACGAGGTCGTACTACTACGGGCGAAGACGCAGCTACAAGGCGGCTTCTGAAGCCAATGCGTGCGTGCCGACTCGCCAAGGAGCAAACGAGTCTGGGAGCGCTATCCTCTCTTGGGTGCTCCTTAGAGCGCTCCCGTCGACATGCCTGATGTACCTAAGTAGATAATTTTAAAGACATTTTATTGGTTATTTATTAAAATATAATAGATTCCCACTTGCTGATTTATATTGTTATAAATGTCCTAATCGGTTGTACGTTTCACAATATGTTTTAAGACTTATGGGTGTGCCTGTCGGAACCCGAATTTCGATATTCGCACGAGCCATTTGTATTCGTATCGATATTTGACGAAGATTTACTCGTGATGGAAATTCGTTCTCGTTTTAAAGAGCTTTGCATTGGAATATTAACGGATCCGAGGATTTGCGCGTGTACCAGATTGCCGTATTGCTGTAATCGCCGATATATAAATGCGCGTGTACTTAACACTGAACGAGAAATAGTGAAAGCTCGATATTGAAAATTTTTAACACTCGGGAGAGTAGAACGATCGTTGGCTAACGTTCGGTGTAAGGATGATCCCGATTTTGCACTCCAGATGATGTCGTTAAGCGGCGACGTGATGCCGCAGTACAGACAGGAGGCGCCGAAGACACCGCCGCACATTTTGTTACATTACTGCGCGTTCAAGGCGATCTGGGACTGGGTCATTTTGTGCTTGACCTTTTACACGGCCATCATGGTGCCCTACAACGTCGCGTTCAAAAACAAGACCAGCGAGGACGTTTCCCTGCTGGTCGTCGACAGCATCATCGACATCATATTCTCCATTGACATGATCCTCAACTTTCATACCACGTTCGTTGGCCCCGGTGGCGAGGTGGTGTCCGACCCCAAGGTACGAATATCTCTACCTTGTTCAAACTGGGGACTGTATATTCACCCATCGTTTATTTATTAAGGATGTATTGGCTATACAGTCAATCCCAAAAGTTGATGTACTTG